TGCGTGGCTTAGGGCCGCTCACTTTTGTAATTGCATACGAACACGTGGGGAGTGCCCAGCGCACTTCTTATCGCACCCCTCACTCCAACTGCGTTACAGGCATGCGGTCACCTTTTCCTAGGAGTGAGATTTTGATAAACCTGTAGAACGTTTTTTCATAATTTATCCCATACCGTGGCACCGTTAATGGAAAATGGAGGAGAGCTATTTCTGAGACAGTGTCCTCGTAGATATCGCCTCGTTTGCTGGGTGTGAAAACAGTAGGCTGCCACTCGTCATTATCTATATCGGCAGCATTTTGGTATTGCAGTATATCGGCTAGTACCTACAATGTTTACTGGTGGGACTCCTTGAGTCAAATTATAGCACTCGAATACTTTGCATCGAACTGTTTGCTGTTGTGGCACTGGCGTGCAGGAAGACCGAATACCCGGGTTCAGTTACCTAAAGCATCCCTGCCCCTTCTGCTCTTAATTTCAGCACATTTTGCTCCAGTCAAAATAGGCCTTCATTTGTATACTCTGTACAAAGCTATAGAGAAAATATGCATTTTGAACATTTTTGAATAAACACACTACAGCTCGCCGTAAACGTGAATGTACTGCAGCAAAAAGGTTCGGTCCTCATTCACAGGGTAACAGGTTATACCGAGGTGCCTTAGGTGTGATATGCTTAGTCGCGAGATATTTGTTGCGACCCAGCAACTTAGAATGTGTTGGCAATCCCTTGTGGATCAAGCCAGGTATCGGCGCATAACACTCTGGCCCACAGTGAACTATTAGTGGGCATGGCTAGTTGGTCTATGGAACTCTATTTTTTTGTTTAAAAAATTAGGTCCATGGAATAGTAAGCCATTTCGTGCGTTTCTGCACAATGTATTGAGGCTTACTATTTGCACAGATCCAAACTACAGGTAGCGGTCCAACGTGTCCCTAAGGAGGTAACTAACCGCAGAGACAACATCAACTCAAGAAAGAGCTATCGAATGTTTTTATCCACTTGCTTTTCGTGCCCTTTCGAAGTCACTGAAACTAGTGACGGGGCACACCTTGGGTGCGCGCTGTTGCACCCCTAGGCCCTTTGAGCGTTCCGGCTAGTTACACATACGATACAAGGCACGCGCACAAACCAAGGGGTGTTGCTGGATTACGCTGAAGCTAAATTGCATTGTGGATCATACGGAAAGCCAGACCAAGCACACAAAGTTTTTGTTGGTTTCAGATAAATGTAACGCATGTACTTGGAAGTGCCTTACTATGGCCTACTTAGAGGCGTTGCCTCCTTCCCATCACTAAACCTTGCTCGTGTCCGCCTCTATCACCCGAAAGGATCAACGTCGAGGTCAGAAGCACTAGGCCTACTTGTACACATACTGAATTTGTTTCGAAAAGATACAAGCTAGGCAGATGGCCCAAAACACGCTGTCTTGTTCTGGTTGCCCAAAAAAAGAGCAATCCCATTTCAAAAACCAGGTCACCAGATAGCACGCAGCAGCTGCAGAATATTTTATTTACATCATTCCAACACACAGATGATAACACATGGACACTGTTGTTCCCTGCCTTATATGTCAAGTCCCTTCTTTGGAGCAACATGCAAGACGTCGCCAGGACGTGTCGTAGGTCACTACAGGTAAATCAAGCTAGTATACTACTGGCTCCGAGGTTGCGATATTCATCACCTAATTCAACGCGAAAGCGCTGCGAGTCTGTGTTGTCATACAGCCTTTTTAAAGTAAGTGCTGTTTGGTCGAAACATCCCCCAGAGATACCTCTGGATATGCATTTCTGTTTATCCAATACACTCTTCTGTTGCTACTTGATTAGAGCAGTGCACCAGTTCCATTGCTCCTACCTTTCGCACGAAACATTGGCTCTTCTTGGCCATAAGGTCGTCCCAAAGGCACAAAATTACACGGAAAGCTAGCATGAGAGGAATCTTCAAGCCGAATATTTCTGTACACGTGAGAAACAGCTTGACGTTAGTCACCCAAGCTACTATGTGTGGCTTTTGTGTAAAGCTGGGCTCTACAATGTAGCGGTTTTTCTTTTAGACAGCTGTGTTCATTGGCAATCAGTGGCCATCACGTGAACACAGCAAAGGGTGTTGTATATCTCCGCAGCATTTCCAAGTCTATGCCACGTTGAAATCAAAAAAATACGATGCATCTGTTGACTAGCTTCAACAGAGGAAAGGGGTTCCACAACATAATATAACGTCTCCAATAGTCGGCGAACTATAAAGCTATTGACATTCCCCCTGCATCTCCAAAAGGCTTTGCTCCTGTGCATGAGTTTGTTTCGTACTACTCAACCAGTTTAAGCCACAAGAAACACTAGCTACAGGCATCACATTCGGTCAAAATACCAATGTCCAGCCTTTCAAAAACCGATAAACTACTGCATAGGCTTGCACTTGCCTTGTCATCATATGCACACCGCAGCTACGTACCCCATGTTGCAGACTAGCCAAATCGCTTTTCCCACCAGAATATCGCTTAGGGGCACGAATTGCCACTGACTCTTTTTAGCTTCCACCTCAGACTGTAGGCTATGCCTGGCTAGCATCGCCCCGCTATCCCTGCATCTTAGATTCCGAATTAGCTATGCCTTTTGCACCAAGTGGCGCAGGGTTTGTACTCATTTGTGCCTCAAACCTTAGAAGGGTCCATTGGGTTTGAAATCCATACTGGTCTATTGATTAATCGCTAAATCGCTGCCCTTCCGCCCGCGTGACGTGGCACTTTGGGCACATGCTTTGGGCACAGCTGAGACAAATCATTGGTAATAGCTCTTCATCTATGCGGTGGCTTTTGCGAGCCAAAACGTTTTTCGATATAACAATCTATCGATAGATCATCCTAAATAGTTCTTGCCCATTTCTCCCCAAGCTTGGTGCTGAGGTGATCGTGGAAGAAACCGATGAGCCAGGCCTAGTCTGAAGGCTGGAGCTCTCGTGCCAGCTGCAGGCAGACAACTCTGTCTGCGTGAATAGAGCCCCTGTAAAACTATTTGTCTGCATTAAGCAAGCCCCATAGACCACTAGTTTCTCGTTATCTGCGGACCACAAAGCGAGGTACATTTCCAGCCGCTGATCGGAAAACCGAGCACTTGCTCATCCTAACGGCCGTCATACTTTTCTGGTTGAAAAAATGTAATAAACTTAGCCTAAACAAAATTCTCAGTTGGAAAAGTGTGTTTTCTTACCACCAGCTACTGCATTTAGATCCGCTTGCAAAGCTGCCTTTGTCACCCTGACAGGGGTTGTGTTACCACCTACTTCCATCGCCACATTGAGTTTCCTACCCAGTATGGTTCCAAAAGTCAAACTAGTATACTTTGCCAAATCATGTAAAGCTGTATAATTCTTGTGTGTATGCCTGGTATTCACCGCCATCACAGCGCCTGGATGACCGGGAAGCATCTGCATTGAACCATGCGGTGCTACAAGCTGTAACAAGTGGACCTATTTTTCTTAGGCAAAATTCGATAGAGTCACTAAGTGTTTTTGCAATAAAAGTTTTCCTGTCTCCTGCCCGTCCCCCCAGAGCTCCTGACATCAGGGGAAGGGACAACAAGCGTGCACGGTGCAGCGCCCTCTGTGAAACCCGGGCCCTGAGAGCTAGTTAAGAGTTGTTTTCTGTGCATTAGCATCCAACTTTCCGTCTATTTGTAGCAATGTAGCCATGTCTCTAAAATAATCACGATATACGAATAGACAAATCGATCATCCAACTCTTCGCAAGTTTTCTGCAAAAGCTCACTCATGTAGTACAACTGTTCAGGTGTAGCTTAGCCCATTCCGCCTGCTACACTGGCTATTCTCTAAAACGGGAAAGCAACTTAATTCTCTGCATTGCAGCTTCTGTTCGACCACGCGCTGGAAATTCGTGGAACTGGAACGATCCACGAAGCAAAGTGTGGAAAAGGTGCTCTATTAGAGATCAGGAAGTCACTAACCCCTCACAAAATTCGAGGATCTAGAACACCTTTAATTAGCTGCATATCTAAATTAAGGTTTTATTGCTATCGAAGAGAACAGTGTTTCTGCATGGTCTTCGGTGTTAATGTACTTCTCCCTGACCTGATTCTGCAGCTGTTATAGTAGCTTCTGAATGGTCTGCGTACGTGTGCGCCGCAGCACTGCCACAAACTTTGCTCTATTGCCCAGAGCTAAACATTTAAAAGCTTGCAAGAATATAGCTGATATCATAGCTCTTTTTAGAAAAGTGTGCAGTTTTTTCCCAACACCGCAGGCCAGCAGAAGCCGTAGATACTTGGATTGAGATGAGTTTCATTTAGGATCAAATAAAGGGGTTCCAAAGGCATAAAAGAGATTACATAGACGACTCAAACTTTCAAAACACAGGAAAGTGTGATTCAAACTTTTCTGCGTATTCCAGCGAGGGGATTCAAGCTGGCTGTGTGGACGCATACAACCCGCAAAATGGAAGCCAAGGAGCTCCAAGAAAATCATCTGAACTCCGGAACTAGAGTATTATGACAAATACGCTGGATGACCCTGTAGGCTTAGCGAACGAAAACCCCAAGTATTCAATAGCTTGTTTCGAGCGAGCGCTGACATTCGCATGCAAGTTCCAGTATTACGTCGGTAGAAAGGCTCCTACCATATTATTTTCGCTTCTTCCTTGACTAAAGGTGTAAATAGCCAGTAATATGCATATGCCGAGTAATACCGCTAAAGTATGTGTGTTTGCCCTCTACGCATGCATGTAAGACCAGTGCAGCAGACGGGGCCACTTGGGGCTTTATCGATGCCTCTGGTAATGTTCCCTAGAGATTAGACCGCTGAATTTGCGATCATCGAAAAATTAGCTTTAAAAACCGCAGACGTTTTTGCTAATTCATCTACGGAAGATAGACTGGAGGGATCTACACCATGGAGCGCGCATAAGCGCATCGCGGATTTCACAAGGTTTGCATGTGGCCGCCAAGGGCAGCAATAGGCTGCCGCATGCCAACATAGAGTGCAACATCCAAATGCTTGCAGCTTCAGCATTTACCCAAGCTGGTGGCAATGAGCATTTCGAAGCCGTTGCTGCTAAACATACAAATTTGAGGGTGCGATACCTCGATTAAGTACTCGGTATTTGGATGCTTCGGAGTCACGTCATTCGTAAAAGGAAAATGGTACCTGTAGGGCAACAAGTCATGCAAGGACAAAAGGACGGTCTGTTTTCCCTTCCTCTTGAGAGAAGTTTTTCTATTGGGCCTCAATTTGCCACATAGTAGTAAACTGCACATCGCACACACTGTTTCATTAGTTTATGGAATGAAACGCAGGGGAAAGCACAAGGATGCAATTTCATCGATTAACTCAAAGCAAACTCATTACCTGGCAGTACCTTTAGCAAGAGTACATATTTAACAACTCTCGTTTTGTGATGCTCGAACTGTTTGGGGGAGCAGAACCATATGAATCAGAGCGACTCCTCATGCTTCAACAATTACGCAAGAGAGCAGAGGAGGAACTGGGCAGGCTACGAGAAGTGCTCCATAACACAAGGCACAGTTGGGTAAAACTGCAGCTTGAAGAGGTGCGTTGGCCACCTCTGCTATTAGTATTAATTTCATGCTTTGTTGGGCGTATTGTGGCAAGCTCACTTTGCTGGGCCACATCAAGGCACAGTCTTTTGTAGCCGAGGGCCTTGCCGTATGCAGGCAATGCTTTCGAGAATCCGAGCTGCAGCAAAGGAGAGCTATGATTTGCTGAAGCTTAGTATGAAGAAAGAAGAGGAAGAAGCAACAGAGGAGGGGGCAGCGCGGATGGTAGAGATCGCTACGTGCGACCAGCGCATGCATGTTCTAGAAGTACAAGAAGCACTGGAGCTGCAGGAACACCTTGCTTCCACGCAGCAATTGTTGGCTGCAGCAGACAAACAGTTTCAGAGCGCTCTGACTGCAGCACTCACAGAGAGCAACGATTTTAGGGGATTCACGTGGAGAGAGGCTGAGGAGATCAAACACGAGGTAGAGGCCCTGAGAAGGAGCCTGGATCAAGTATGCTGGCCAGTGGAGAATATTCAGGACCGCCGCTTGTAGTTCTCACTGTATGGCCCTATCAGGAAGCATCACTGCCAAACCAGCCATTGGAGCTGCCTCACTGAACACTATGGAATATCATAGACACGCTCTAATCTATCGATTTACAGTGGCCGGCGGATTCCCAGTATTACAATTGTGCCGTAATGTGAGCCCACTCACACTGTACCAATGTCTGCTTGTAGATTCGGTGTAGTGTGCTGCAAGTGACACGCTGCAGCACCTGACCAAGATTCGAGAAACATTTCAGAATAACACGGAAGATCTGGAGCAACAGTGCAATGCCGAACTATGGGTATATCACGCTATGTACTCTGGCACTTATTAATAACACAAATGTCAAAGCCCCTAGTGAAAATTCTCAATCGTGACAGCAGGCCTGCGCTTATTCCACATACCATGGTGAACTATTATAAACGCAAACCCTTTTTTGACCTTTCCACTGAGGCGGCAAAAGCCGGGATCCAGTTACGCTTCTGCCGGCGTGCAATAATTATCCATACTGCGGAGCAGGGACAGTGAAATTGTATTCGGATTCGAGGATTGAGTGTCATGAGAATTTGGTGTATTTAGAAACTTGGAGACTCGCTGGACCTACGTGGAAACGTGGCAATTCATGAAGTGGAGGAGCAAAAGTCCCTCCACATAAATATGCTGAAGGCATTTAATGATGAAGCAATCAGCAAGCTTAAGAGTAAGCATGTGCTTTTACGCACTGTGTTCACCCCAAAATGTGCTTTTGTCGCGAAATTATCTTTCTAGTACCTAACGATATGAACAACGAAGCCGTGCTTGTTGTGCGGTGCCTCTACCAGCATACTATCAAGGCATTGCACGAGATAATCTGCAGCTTGTCAAGAAGCTACGCGATGAAAATGGAGCGACAGCGGCTAACAACAAACGACTTAAGAAGGAAATCGATGAGACGTCACTTCAGAGTGCGCAAATTCGGAAGCCACTGCAAGACCAGGAAGCCCTTAGGTGTGCCTGTCATTCTCGAAGATTTCTTACTGCCCCGGTACCTGTTGGGTCCTGATATGGACAGTGTACGTGCCCGTAGGAGCACTGCCTAATTTGGCTGCGCCCAGCTTTCCTCTCGTGCGATGAGCCTTTTGTGGGTCACCAGATACCCTAGTGCTTCCTCGGTGCTCACGTCCTTGGTTAACTTCAGACACGCTATTATGTATATTCCACTGCATTTATATTTCCGAACTAAACGTGTAAGCATTTGGAGTACTTCTACCTCCTAAGAGGAACCGAGGCCGAACACATGTTTCCCGTGCTGGTGTGAATTAACATAAATACTACAGGGCGCGCCTCAAGGTCCAGCTTCGCTTTATTGAAAACGACAAATTGGTCCTTCGTAATCTGAGGAGAAGAAACCAACAGGTATTGAATCTACTGGAGAACGTAGAACTGACATCAGTGGACTTCAGCTAGATCTTCATTCGGCAATTCAGCAGATCAGGAAAGCAGGCTTAACTACTGCTCATGGTAAGACAGAATTGCACCGTGCATGCTTTACAGATAAAAAGGCAGATTGAGAATGCCCGCATGGAAGTACGGAGCTTAGAATATCAAACAAAAGAAACTAACCGCACCATTGGGAAATTGCAGGAAGAAATCTCGCACATTCGTCACAGTGGTGGCGGGTTACCAGCAGTCAAAGGAATATTGATGCATCTATCCATGAAAGAGGCTCTTGAAAAGCTGGAATCAAGCTTGCATGTAATAGAGTATGCAAAGCAGAGCTGCGAAGGCTCTGCAGAACCCACGGGGGGCCTGGTCAGGGATGCTATCATGAACTACAACTGGTGCAAAAGTAGTTTGCACAAGAAGCTGACAAAAAGTACTGCCGCATACAGCAACTTGGTAGCTTCTATGCGCTCATGTCTTAACGGCCTCTACGTGCCATGTCCTTCTCTCGATACGGACGGGGTGGAGCTTGAGGAGTCGTCGCCCGCTACAATTCAACATGAGACGAAATCATCACCAGCAAGCCTATGCCCACCTGGATCGACCGAAGAAGCTCCTAGACTGCTCAATGCATCGCACTGAGCTTGTACTACCGCCGCGCTTTTAGCTGCATGATGGAGAGCTAAATGCGAATGATCGCATTGCCATACTGAATGCCTTTCTACACAGACCCATGCCCCTAAAGGCATTATGTTCTTACAATTCCGCTTACCATGGGGATCCGGTACTGTTGCAGACTTCCAGAGTACAATAATACAGGAAGGATATCCAAACAGAGGGAGATTCCTACGCATCCTTCTGCCCATTCTCTTCAGCTCCAAATTCCGGGGCCCGACGAGTGTCTGGAACTCTGAGATAAGGGTCAGACCCACCAGTAGCTTGAACATCCATCCATGCAAATGCTAGTCACAACAAAAACAGTCTTGATAGACACAAGGCTCTATCGGCAGCTTGCTTTTAGAATTAGCTCCAGCTGGCAGTCTGATGCTGAACCCAAAGTCCCCACACATGATGACGTAGGCCACGCTCAAAAGGATGACCGATGTAGTTCCCAAAGACGTAGTGGGCAACCATGCTAATCCCCATCGTCTACATCCCTTGGGAACCACCGAATATCTCCTTGGCATTGAGTGTGTAATGGAATACAGCTAGCTTGCTTCCATACCTGTATTTTCAGCCTGGTGGGCACCTTGTCTTACCCCCGCAGCAGGTACACGCACTGGTTCATCGCATTTTTATTAATAATAGGGATACAAGCTAAAAGTTTACTGAAGGCTAGGGCAACTAGACAGACTTTTGAGAGGCTGTCTTCCAGCCTGCCATACGAGGATTTCAAGTCGTAGAATTATATATACTAGCTCAGGTCTTGTATCACTACATGCAGCCTGACGCTTTGCAAACGTGTGATGATCTAGAAAGTCGCTCAACACAAACTTCCACACATGCAGGCTTTCAGCTGTTTCCTTTTAGCAATGTGCAAAGACTTAGGCCTGCTGATAATAAAGAGTACTCATAACCGCATGCCAAACACGCATGCGAGGTTCATTAGTCGACTAGTCAAAACGATGGCCAACACCCCTATGTACTCTAGAGGGAAAAGCATACCACGCAATTTTTTTTGCAATCAAGGTGTATATCTTTATTAATTTGGTACTTAGATTTACTAGCCAGCTTCCAAAAGGCGCACCCGTCCGCGATAGTAAAGGGGAGAAAACGGGGAGGCGAGCAACACAAAGTGAACAGATTGCACTGCAAGTCGTGGCTAGTGTCAAATGCTTACCACACATGCGGTGAATAGAAGAGCCAGTACTTGGAAGCTCCACTTTGGTTTGCAGGCAATATAAGACACAGGGACCAGCCGTCTTTACCGAACAGTCTTCACCTGTTTGACGGTCTAGAGGTAGGTATTCTCTTGATACGTTTCATCAGTTTCGGCAACGAGATATGTCGTTCTTGGTGGCGTGGTCTGACTTGCAGGCATGCACTACGGGGCCATTGCGCGTGAAGGGGTGCGAGTATCAATTTGTCTTACCCCTCTGCGTGCGAAGTGGTCATGTTCACTTTCATAAAAAGAAGAAAAATCTTTTGGGGGGAGATTTCGCGTGGGGCTTGGGGATAGCTTAAGCAGTGACGAGGTTACTCGAAGATGCACATGCGCAGGTTCAGCTCGCATTGAATAACCTTGCGGTGCATCGCCTTGAGGAGGCCCAACACAGCATGGGATTTGACCAGTAAGCTGCATCCAAAAAAATTGCGTCGTCTTTGCAGGGCCAACGTTTGTGGAGAAAGGCAGCACGACAAAAGAGGAACGACCTGCCTTGGATCTGCGGCTCGTGTTGAAATTGCTTTCAGGCCTGGTATGCCCTTTCGCTGATCCCTATTGCAACAATCTCTCGGCAGCTAACTAGCAGGCGAGGTCAGCACACTTTTGCTTTAGCAGAAGGATATCCCCGGTCCACGCAACTGAAAACTAGGGCTCACAGACTTTTAATGCTGACCTAGCACACGCGACACTATCGTGCACAAAAGTGAACGCCTGAAACGTTGCAAAGGCAAATGCACAGCCAAGTTTGTAATGACATGAAAATTCTCGATTCCTGATCCCACTGCACCACGCATCCAAGCAACCGAACTGCTCTCGGATTAAAAATACAGATAAATACTATTTAGTCTTT